AGCGACTTAAGACTGGTTTTGTGGTCCAGGGTCACATATGGCCTGACAACATCTCATCAGACTGTAGTTCTACTGAAGCTCTCTCATCATTTGTACCTTTTTGACTAGTGTCTGGCACTGAGGTGAAATAAATAAATACATTTAATTAATAAATACAATTCTTGTCAAGAAAAAAAAAGCAACAGAAGCTGCCGTTGTGACTGGGGTGGCCAACCCTAGCTCCACCCCTGCATTAATTGTATTAAATATTTGTGACGTGTTAAACTGAAAAAAATTAATCACGTGTTAAAGCATTAATTTTGACAGCACTGCACATTACTAAAAATGTATCAAATTAAAATGAAAATATAGTAATAAAAGATAATTCATAATATTAATTAAAAAAACAATAATAACATATAAATAATATTAACACTGGTAGTTCCAAACCTGTATAACATTTTTCCATGAAGCTCAATAAATGTTTAGCCAAAATATGATGATCTTATACACTATATTCCAATTCTTCATTTAAATTGATATGTATTCAATGTCTTTTTCTTCACCAAAGCTCTCAAACCTCATTCTGTTTGCATGTATATTCAGTATGGCCTGTCCAAACATGTCACACCAGGTTTGACTTCAGTGATGCCATTACATTGATTCATGTATCTTGTCACTGAATGTGATGTACCAAATTTAAATATTTGCATATTCAAATAATACAAGTGAAATTTGACAGTCAGAGGGAAAGATTTTCAGTGAGTAACAACTTCAGTTTTGTTTTCAACATTTCCTTCTGTGTTCCACAAAAGAAAGCAGGTCTAATCGATTTGGAACAGCAAGAGGGTGAATGCTACATTTTTTACTTTAACCATTAAAGGTTTTTTGTGCAACCTTTTGTGCATTAGAAAGGTTCCATGGATGTTTAAGGTTCTTCATGGAACCACAGATCACAATAAAGAATTATTATTTTTTTAATAGTGTATATCACAAAGTATATAAATTACGTGTGTAATTTCTTTACCAAAATCATTTAAGTACTACAGATGCATGCATGAACTCGCCTCAAGCTTGTTTTTCTAGAATTCTGCTCAATAAGACAATAGGTGGTACACTACAAGATGTCTGAGAGGCAAATGAGAATGAAGCGAGACATTCAGCATTTTAAAGAAATTAATTTCACATCAGGGGCATACTACAGTGCGACGAGAGGGTGGCTCAAATTGCATTTGTCTGAGCAGTTCTTGTCTGAACCAATCAGCACCCACTTGAGTTGAGTTGATGAGCAGGAACGATGAATTTGAGAAAAATGCGTGAAAAAAAAAAAAATCAATTATAGTGCCACTTCTGTTGCTGAGGAAATTGACCTGATGCCGCCATTGCATCTGTTGTGGTTAAGGAACGACATTTAAAGAGAAGAAGATTACAGCTCTTGAAGGTTTGATGAAGGATTCTCATTGCCATGACCTCTGCCCCCAGGAGACATTTATGCAAGAACGGGTTTTCCATAAAGATCTAAATTTAATCTCCATGCAGTTTCCACTATCGCTGAGGTCTTACTGATACCACAAAGCACAACAAAGCCGGTGAGTTTAGAATGGCTGCTCACAGTTAGTATAAGACCAGATTTGATATTGATATATCAAGAGATGAACATGTACATTTATTCATTAGCAGCCATTGTTGTTGATTTACAAATGGTAAACAGATGTGATTTATAGCTAAACATTAATCAGGCAAACAAAATAAAGTACCATAATGCCAAATGTAGGTCACACTGAACTCATGTGACACAGCAGCCACAACAGGACTTATGTTTTATTTATTCGAAACATCCCCAAACGCATTAACTCTATCATGAAATATCTTAATTCTCACCTTTATAGATTATGTTGATCTATAGTGGGCGATGGTCAAAGTAACCTAATAATGTAATCTATTAACTATGCATAAAACCTGTCTGTTTACTTAATTAACAGATATGGGTTTCATGCTATAACATATTTTTAATTTAATATTTAATGAGAATTTAACATTGAAAGTTAATGTGAATAAAAACATTGCAAGTTAGTCTATAATCACAACACGTTCATTGTACAGAAAGAGAGCAAAGAACATTTAAGTGAAAGTGAAAGTGAAGTGACATGTGGCCAAGTATGGTGACCCATACTCGGAATTAGTGCTCTGCATTTATCCCATCCAAAGTGCACACACACAGCAGTGAACACACACACACCCAGAGCAGTGGGCAGCCATTTTTTGCTGCGGCGCCCGGGGAGCAGTTGGGGGTTCGGTGCCTTTCTCAAGGGCACCTCAGTCGTGGTATTGAAGGTGGGAGAGAGCGCTGTACATTATTTACATTATCAAAGAACATTTTCACTGACAATCTAGTTCAAGCTCTCTCAAAAACTCCTATTATAATCACTGAAGCTGTTTACGCTATGAAATTAAAATCTTACAGATTCGTTCACATATTTGCACTTTGTAGTTTCTGACGAGAGAATTCGCCAGAAAGAGGTATTCAGTCAGCGAGCGAGTGAAGAAAACATAGGCATTTTAGCATGACTCATCTGAACACCTCTGATTGGTCATTGCATTCATTAGCTCAACAGAATCGTGTGTGATTGGTTAATGCACAGAGCTGTAAAAACGCGTCTGTATCTGGCTCAGGGCCAGCCAGCGAATGCAGATTTGAATTTAGCAGCTGGTGATATGACGCACTGAACGTTCTAATCACACCGGTGTGATTGTATTAAATATAGAAAGTATTAATCTGCTATTTTTGTCTTTTGGAAGCTGCATTCAAAATCCACCTGGCTCAA